GCAATGCAGGGCAAAGCAAACATTTTGGCCTTGTGTGGTGAAGCTGCTGGAATGGCAGATGGAAAGATTTAGAAATTATCATCCCCATTGAGCTAACCTTGCAATTTCAGAAATCCATTTCCTCAGGCTGTTTCTTTTTTTCCCCCCTTGATTATGAATCTGATTATCCAAGCAAAACTTGTGCTGGTACAAGGTCAGATTAAACAAAATGGGTTTTTAATGAATGGGAAGACTGAATGGTTGGTCGTGCTCTTTCGATAGGCCTGCGGTCGTAGAATGTAGGAATGAAGGCTGGAGTTGACAAGGTGGTCTGGATGGTCTATCTTGCTAGACCACTGTAGTATGGATCCTCATTCGGACACACATCCACCTAAGAAATCCTTTAAACCAAGGAATTGAGGGGGATACTTTGGGCAGTGAATCTGTGCTTTCAAAAGAAGATCCAAGGATTCCAAATCCAGCACATTTTGTGTTCGGTTCACCCTGAAACCATTAGATCAGTAGCGTGCAAAGATTGTATTATTTCACTTGGTAATGTATTTAGGAGGAGATCTGCTACAAGTCCATGGCCTGCCTTAATCTAGTTTGTGTTGCTTCTATATGTGTACAATGATGCTGGTGAAGGATCGGGTCTTGGTTCATTTAAACTGAGGCTGACCTTACCTTCACAAGAGTAGAAGTTGTCGTCCAGTTGTCAAACCAGAAGGGGGTGGTTTTCTGCGTGGTGTTGTTTGGAGTCCATCTCTCACGGCAAGGCTTGCTAAGGCATGTCCACCTGCAATAAAGACTTGTCTAGTGTCTAATGTCTTCATTTTTTTCCCCGGCCAGATCTAGCTGTTTCTAAGGTTATGGAGGCCAGCCTTCACTCAGCACAGAAGCAGTCTCATCATTACCTCCCTTGGGGATATAGGGGATGGTGTTTACTTAACACACTCTCCTCGTTTGCACTTAACTATACACCTTAGGACACTGTAGGCTAAGCATAATGAGCTGTCCTGGCTTCAATACTTTTAGTCTAGATTTGTTCTATAGGAAGAATTTTGCAAATAATTACTTGCATCTGGTGATATAACCCCAATGAAAAAAACATTTCCCATTTTTGAGGTCCCAATTGCTGTTAACAGTAAAACAGTATGGTAAAAAAAATTAATTAAAAACCAACTAGACAAAACATTGAGATGCTGTGGCTCCCTATAATCCTTAAGGCTGGGTTCACACCTAGGCGTATTGAATATGCGCGTTTCGCGTCACGCATTTTTACAGCGATTCGCGGTAAAAAACCGCGCGACAAACACCCGTTTCCGAGGACTACTTGGCTGTATCCCAATGGAAACGCGAGACCAAAACGCCCCAAAGAAGTACATGTACTTCTTTGGGCGTAGTCCGTTTTGTATTGCGTTCGGACGGGCGGAAAAATGGCAAGGTGTGAACCAGACCCATTGAATACAATGGGATTTGGATGTTTGAGCGTTTTGTAGAGCGTTCGTCGAGCGTTGAACGCGCTACAAAACGTTCAGGTGTGAACCAGGCCTAAAGGGGAGCTCCACGAATTATAGATGAACAGGACAACGGAAGGTAATATACAACTTTCTCAAACTTGCACCAAAATGAAACTTGCACCTTACCACGCTAGACAGAACAAAATAAACTTTTGCCTTTACTTATTACTTATTAGGGATGCACTGATACCAGTTTTTAGGTATCGATTACAAGTACACATATTTTTTTTCGGGTACTCGCCGATACCAAATACCAGAGATCCCATTAAGGAAGTCGGGCGGTATGTAATGACTCGCCACCCGGCTTCCCGATTAACCAGGAATCCATCTCCATGGTCCACCAGATGACGAGGAAGCATGGAGCCGGCTTTCTGGCCAATCAGGAAGCCGAGCCGCAAGTCATTACACAGCACCCGGCTTCCTGATTGGCTTCCTGACATGAAGCCGGCTCCATGCTCTCTTGTCTCCAAGTGATACCGGAAGTTCCCGTATCGGGCTAGGCACCGGGAGCATTTGGGCGAGTACTTGTACTCGCCCAAATACTAGTATCGGCACCGATACATCCCTACTACTTATTACTATACCTAACGCACACCAAAGCAGTGGTATGTGCAATGTGGTTAGTTGCTTTGGAAAAAATGGTGCATGTCTGGTTGTGCCTGTGTTGAATGAATGGGTTGCCTTAAGGGCTAGTTCACACCATAACCGTAGTGTGCTGCGTTTTAACACAATTTTTAGGCTTGTTGTTTTTTAGCTTAAAATGGCCTTTCAGGTGCAGTCCAGTGCATTTGCATGTGTTTTTGATCCGTTGCGATCAGGTGCAGCTAAAATGAGACAAACAGTATTTTTTTTCTGACTGCATCGAAACGGACTGCACTGGCGTGAACAGAGCACCAGAAATCCCACTGGAAAGCATTGTGACACGATTTTGATGCTTCCAAACTGAACAAACTGCATCTGGTGTGAACTAGCTCTAATACAAAGCATGTAAACATGCAATAGTGCACTTTTGTTAACACAACAGAACACAAAGGTGCAAATGGGCCCCTAAAAAAGCAGGGGCAGGAAGCAGAGCTGCATGTTGTGCTGTGCAGTAGTACAGGTGCTTTTCTTTATCCTGTATAAGTGTTGGGATGCCCTTAGGAATGAATGCCAATGCACATATACTGCGCAAAGTGCGTCAACGCATGCATGAGTCCATCGTATGCCTAAACACAGAGATTACATACACACATGTGAACTGTATTATTGGCCAACGGATTTGGATTTGTTATGAGCCACCTTTGTGATCTGCACACCTCTGCGATGATACTACACTCTTAATTAGTACTGAGCAGCGTGATGGTGTCATCTCCTCGACTGTAGACTGCTGAACAGACAATGGAGGCACAAGAATGCACTGATGAGTTATTAACTCGGTTCCTTCCTCCTGTCAGCATGTTCCCTGTCAGCACATGGGCATTCAGCAGAGTCTGATAGGCTGCTAGTGCTGCACCTTCCTTTTCCAAACTGAGTGCTGCTGTGCAGCAGATAACAGAGACTGATAGCAAGGCAGATTCAGGTACTTCTATTAACTGTATGTAAAAATATATTTCTTTCATAAGGAATTTTAAACTGCATTAGGTGGGGTGTTGTCTATATTGTCCTAGCATGCAGTTTTGAATATCTTAAGATGGTGTGAACCTTCAGGCTGGGTTCACACCATTTTCCGGACCAGATCTGGAACATAGTACATTGCGTTTTTGCCGCAATTGGAATTTTCTTTTAACTTAAAATGGTCTTACAGGTGCATTCCATGCGTTTCTAGTGCGTTTTTATGCGTTCCAGTGCATACCAGACAAAATTGGACCATCTGTATTTTTCTGCTGTGGTCTGGAACGGACTGCGTTGGTGGGAACAGAGGCCAAAAATAGCATAGGGATACATTGGGATGCATTTTGGGTCCGGAAACAGTCTGGTCTGGTCTGAAAGGTAATCTGGATGTGGTGTGAATGGGCCCTAAAGGGAGCCAGTGCTTTGCCCATGTATGAAAAAAGAAAAGGTTCACTGAAATACTACTAAACAAGCAAAAGATGACTTACTCTCCATCTGCAGGGGCGTCCCGAAGGCTGGGTGACACCCGGAGCGGTAACCGAGTGTCACCCCGTCGAGACGTCACCACGCGCGTGCGCGATGACGTCATCCCGCACGCGTGGCAGTATTCTGATACCTGCCGGTGGCCATCTTGCTGATGGACGCCGGCAGAGAGAGGAGGAGACAGTCACCCATCGGGATAAGGTATGCCGCCGGGTCCCCTCATCTCTCCTGATACTGTTGGGCGTTCGGTCCATGACCGAGCGCCCGACTTTTCAGAGGGGGGTGACACCAAAATGACTGTCATTTTAGTGTCACCCCTCCAATGGTGTCACCCGGGTGCGGGCCGCACCCCCCGCACCCCCATTGTGACGCCACTGTCCATCTGCCCCAACAGCATAGAAAAGTGATATAGAAATCTAAATTAATAATAATAACTACCCCCCTTCCCAGCCTCACAGCCACCAGGAGCGACAGGTACCCATAGGTTATGTGATCACCTGCCAGGCTCCCTGCTTCATTAAGGCTCCACGGCTGGAAGAGGTAATGGACAGTTG